ACTTGTGGGGGGGCGGGGGGGGGGGGGAAAAGAGCACCCTTGATAAGGCTTTCCCCCCCGCCATGTCCACCCCCCAACCGGCAGCTCTGCCCCCTCCCTGGACCCCCTTTCATTCGTGTCCCCAGGAACAGGCCTGCTTTCAAGCGACCTTGAGTTTGGACATCCTTATTTTTAACCCCAGGTAGATATTTAAACCCCCAGTGTGAGTGAGTGAAACCCGACCCCCCCCTCCATCCGGCTGCTTTGGTCCTCCCCTGCTGCTGCAGCCTCCCCCCCAACACTATTTTGGGTTCACTTGAGTCAGCACCTCCAGAAGATGCCCTTCCCTGCAAAGGGGGGGGTCAGTTTGTGGGGCAGGTGGAGATTTTCTTCTGCGAGAACAGCCATTTCACTGCCCCCACCCCCCTTTAAGACCAATCTCGCCTTCCTTTCCGGGGTGATGAGCCCCCTCACTTTCTAACTTTCCTTCCTTTTGACTCTGATTAGGTTTTTGTAGCTAGTTAGCTGGTCTGGGTGCGTTTCAAGCTTCTTGCAGACCGCTCTGGAGTTGCCTGGATTCAGCCTGTGGCGTGGACCCAGATGATGGATCAGTGGGCCTAAATGTTGAGGATGGGCGGGGAGTTAAGGCTGGGGATGGGAGTAGTTAACCCATTTATCTCCCTCAAGACCGAGGAGGGCAGGAAAAGCTGGCTCCATCTTTCTTTAACATCACAGCGGAGGCTCCAGTCCCACGAATGGTGACCGGTTGGCGTTCCCGTTGCCAAAGGCCCAGTCTCTGAATGCTCAGAGGACGACACCGTTGCAAAGGAGGGCGGGCAGCGTGTTCTTGGCCCAGGGCAGGGCTGAACCTGCCCCTCGTTGCTGTGCTGGCCCAGTTGGCCTTGCCCTGGTCTGCTAGTGAGCCCTTCCGCCCGTGAGGGAGGCAGCGCGCCTGTGCCCTGGCCGTGTGTACAAATAGACAGCTGTCACTCGTGATTTATAACCTCCTTTGCCTGCTGCTCCTGGGAAGAGTGAAAGCAAAGTTGAGGTGACCTGCTGTCTCCGCTCCACATCTCTAGCTGGATGCGGTCAGACCTGGCACATCCTTTTTCCCCTGTGCCATAAAGTGGGTGGCACATTTCGTCATCGAGAGATGCCTTTCAGCCGGGGAACGAAAGTGGACCAGCTTCTAAATCAAGCTCTGGGCGCTGGACGGTCCTGCGCAATCTGCGAAACTGCCGAATCGGAAGGGCGTCTGCTTTTTTTCCCACCCCTTCAAACCCGTTGCTGGTCGTCATTGAGGGGGGCTCGCAAAGCGTGTTGCCCCTTTGTTGGGCAACTCCTCGAACACTGCCTCTCTTGCCCTGATCCAGCTGCCCAGAGGGCCAACTCTTCCCCGTGAAAATGGAAGAGTTTTTCCTTTTTCTTTTTTAAAGCCTTTGCCTGGGTGCAAAACCCAAGAATTTTCTCTGGGGGGGGTGCTGAAGAACACAGCCAGACTCCCAGGGGCTTTGGGTCCTGCCCCAAGCGCCCCCCACCCCTGGTCACTTTTAGTGTGACTAAAGGGGAAGAGGGTTCAAAACATGAAGATGGAGTCATCACTTTACGCACGTTGAACTTTAATGGGGAGGCAATGCTTTCCAGTGTACGTTTTCCCCCGTTCCTGTCACACCATCAAAGGCTTGGGAAGTCTGTGACTCACCCCGAACAAGCCCCCCAAAGTTGAGACACTGCTCTGTGCAAAGAGCTGCCCCTATGGAGATCTGGGGGGGGACCTGCCAGGTGCTGTGAGGCAAGGCTAGGCTATCGGTTGTCTTTAAGGCAAGCTATGCCCTGGAGGCTATTTTTAGCCCCAGCCGGCCGGCTGGCAGCTGCCCGTTATTTTAATCCGTGCCAAATGCCGGTGGCCTGAGCTTAAGTCAGTCCAGGGCTATTTTGGCCCTTTCTGCTGACCACCACCTTCTTTTTAATCCAGCCGGCTGCCTGTTCTTTCCCAGAGGCCCCTGGGCCT